ATAATATAATAATAATAATAATATAATAACAATAATAATAATAAGAAGAAGAATAATAATATAATAACAATAATAATAATGATAGTATTGGGGAACTAAGGTTCTGCCCCAGGAGGGAATCCAAGGTCTCCTGGACCATCCGCTCCGACTCATTGTCCAGGGCGGAGGTCGCCTTTTTTTGGCCCCTTTAAAGCCTCTGAAAAAATATTAGTAAATAGGGGTCCTCTTTTATGCCCAATAAGGGAAAATATAAAATATCCCCAAGGACTACCTAGTAGCCTCATCCAGGAGCAAGAGCTGGGGGCTCTTAGCCAGAGCGCGCGCAATGGCAAGCCGCTGTCGCTGGCCCCCGGACAGCAAGCCACCGCCGGCTCCAACAAAGGTCTCGAACTTGTCTGGCAGCCCCATCAAGGTTTCGTAAATCTGTGCTCCTTTGGCGGCCTCCATGACCTGCTCGTCGCTGATGGAGTCGTCGCCTGCCTTGATGTTTTTCATCGCGCTCGTGGCAAAGAGCACGGGCTCTTGGCCCACATAGCCGATGAGCTGCCTCCACGCCTTCACCGGGACTTTGCAAAGTTGGATCCCGTTCACCAGCACCTTCGGGAGGGGGGCGAGGGTTTAACAAGCACCCAATGCAATGCAATCCATGATCCTATACTGCCTATACTTTAAATGGAGCACAAGCCTGGCCTCGCCCCCCCGGGGGTCGTAGAAGCGCTCCAGAAGTTGGATCGTGGTGCTCTTCCCGCAGCCGCTTTCCCCAACAAGGGCGATTTTCTGACCCTTCTCCACTCGGAAGCTGAAGTTCTGGAGAACCCACTTCTCCGGCCTCGTCGGGTACCGGAAGCTGACGCTCTTAAACTCGATGGTGTCGATGGTCTGAAGCTTATCGGGCAGCTCTCCCATAGTGTGCAAGGGGGGCTCGATCACGCGCTCCGCCGCCATCATCTGCTTCATGGCCTTTGCAGATGCGACTGCCTTGGCCAGGATCGGAAGGAAGCCGCTAAAGGAGATCAGCCCGGACACTGCAACGCACATGGCGAAGATCACCGTGACCATGCCGGTTTTGTTGACGTCGTTGTGAGACAAGAGGTAGTGGCCACCGAACAAGAGAGGTAGCCCCAAGAAGCCTTGGTGCTCGTTGGAGGAATAAGACAACACGACGGCTGTGATCTATATGGAGGTCCTCCGGCTCGCCTTGTAAATCCTATACCCTGGATTAGGGCTTAAGGTTTCTAGGGTCCTGACAACCCCTTGAAACAAGCGACCACTAAAGCATTTTTTGATATTAGGGCATGCGCAATAAACCCTAAACCTGAACCAACGCCTTGAAAAAAAGCGAACTCCAAGCGAGGAGCAGGAGTAGAATAGGTTTAGTCCGCCTGCTGCAAATCCGATCTTGGCTCCGGTGCGGATCCCTCCCAGCTTCGCCGACAGAAGCTCCTTCTCTGTGTATGTATGTGTATATATATATATGTATTTATGTATGTATGTATGTATGTATGTAAGTATGTATGCACGCATGTATGTATGTATGCATGTATGTATGTGTGTAGGTACGCATGTACACAAAAAATTTTCGAGAGAGATAAAGGGATAGAGAAATAGAAAGACTAACAGACAGACAGAAGGACAGGCAGGCAGGCAGGCAGGCAGGCAGACAGACAGACAGACAGGCAGTCAATCAAGGAAACCAAGAGGCAGGTGGATAGATAGACAGATAGATAGATTTGGGCTTCGGGCTTTGAGTTTCGAACATATCGGCCTCAGCTTAGGGTTTCGAGTCTCGGGGCTCCTTCTCGAAACGTGCAGTCGCTTTTCCCTCTCCGCCGAAGGCGGCGACGGTACGGATGGCCATGATGGACTCCTCTGCAACCGTGGCGGCCTGGGCGAAGTCCCTCTGCTGGTCGATCGTCTGCTGTGCAATCTCCTTGCCCCAGGAGATGGCCGAAGACCAGTTTCGGGATTAGGGGTTTAGGGTCAGTTTAGGGTTAAGGATTTACGCTCTCACAACTCGAACTGGGACATGCCAGGGTTTAGGGTTAGGTCTCCTTGCCCAGGAGATGGCCGAAGAACAGCAGTATCGGGATCGTTGCACAAACCACCAGCGCAAGCTGCCAGCCTGTAATCATGGCAAACACCAAGCCGCCCATGAACTGCGCGAAGCTGGCGATGAGGAAGCCAAGCGTTTTTGACATGAAGAAGTGCACATTGTTAATATCAGCCTCAAGCTTGGCTGCGACTCCTGCCGGCTCATGCTCATCATACCAGCTGACATCCAAGGAGAGAAGGACTCCCACGAAGCTGAGATGCCAACGCTTGGACTGCTTAGCAGCCGCCCAGGCGAGGCAACTTTGCCAGAGGAAGCCCAAGAGAAACTGGATGAGCGCAATCGCTCCAATTTTGATGAGGATTGGACCCATCCTCTTCATCACGTTGTCGGGATCACGGGCTTGCAAAGCGTCGACAGCCTCGGCTATGAACCAGGCAACGGCTGGGGTGGATGCTCCCTGGGCCAAAGCGAAGACGAGGCCAAAGTTCAAGACGACCTTCTCGCAGTACTTCAAGTGCGTGGTCACAACTGCGATGTCGTCCTCCGAGGGCTGCCGCTCTTGTTTGCAGAGCTGCCCTTTCTCGATGTCCTGCAGGTCGCGAACGGGATGCTGTCCCAGGAGGACAGGCAGGGCATCGTTCTCAGACATGGCCGAAAAGATCAGGAACAAGGGGAAAAGGGTATTCTCGAATCAGACTATCTGAGAACAAGAGGCTGGCAGACATCCGTGTGAGCTGTGACAGGTAGGCCTAACAGCTTCCCATCCCACCCGTGGCAAACTCGCTTAGTGTCAGCAGTGGGTGGATATGCCATAGCGTGTCATCTGTGCCTACAATTATAACCGGAAGCTTGGAAGATCTTGGACGTTGCGCTGCAGCTGAGCGGCAGAGTCCCGAACGAGCTGCCTTGGATCTTCGGACTGAAGCTACAGGTTTAGGGTTTAGGTGTTTAGGGTTTAGGGTTTAGGGTTTAGGAGTTTAGGGGTTTAGGGGTTTAGGGGTTTAGGGGTTTAGGGTTTAAACCTACCCAGACCTTCCAATCTCCCTAAATTA